CAACAGTCTCTCTGACATTTTCCGGAAAATATCAGTACGACGGTACGACGATTATCCGTGTCGTACGGTTCGTGCGTACCAGGTACTTTCTACCGAGAACCCTGACCGGATATCATACATGCAAGCGAGCTAGAAAAGGAAACGGAACGATCACATCAATGAATGATTCCCGTTATTATAGAAATGCTAAATTTGATAGACGGACGGACCAAAAATCTAGCACACAATGTAATAGATTTAGCAAATTTTGGATGGGTCCAACGGACCAATCCAAAATATGCTAAATCTATTAGGGAACCCACGAATCAAAATTTCGAGTCCGTTGTAAGATTCAACAGAAAGGCCCGCCTAAATTACACCCGGCCATACAAACATTAAGACTGTTCTTTTCTAAACAAGTATCGAAATGACAAGAAGAAGGCGCCTCTAATAAGAATGGCGYCTAAGACACAAGTCAAACTATGTCTCGATCTGTGCTGTTAGTCAGTGCATTCTATTTCCTTTCTTTGTTGCAGCAAAGAGAGCAACAAGAATACGAGGAGGAGGAGGCCAGCAACCTCAAAGAGGGAGGAGCACACTGTCCCATCCCCCACATTATATTTGTTAAGATGGAGGCAACTGCTGGTGGCCGCGGGCCTCCCCACCAGCAGCCTGCTGCAAGTGGTGGTGGCAGTGGCAATAGTGGCCKTAAGACTGGTACTATAAACTACTCTCGAGCAGAGGTCACGGATCTCATGAGGTTGATACTGGATGTACTCCCCACGTGTGGCRAGGGATGGGAGTTCATTACAGCAAAGCATGCTGAGAGTTKGCCTGTTGGTAGGACCACAAACTCTATCAGGACTAAGTATGCAGCCGTGAGGAGGATGAAGAGCTCCACTGGAAATCCAAACATGCCGGAGTATGTGAGTATGGCCCGGCTCGCCCACAAGCTGATTGGTGAAAAGGCAAATCTTGGTACTGCAGAGGAGGACTTTGATATCACCGAAGGCTATGCTAAGAGTGAGGCTGTAGCAGGTTTAACAGCACTGTCTTCYGGGGCAACTACAGCTGCAATTGCCAGATGTAGTGCCGGATCGATGTATGGAGATCGTGAACGCGCTGTTGAGGATACGGAGGAACAGGAGCAGCGTCGTCAGCGTGAGGAATACCATGTTGCTACTGTTCTTGCTTCCTCTGCTTCTGCCAGTAACTTGACCCCTTCTCTTGTTGAATCTACCCCAGCAAAGAAGAGATCTTACCAAGGACAAAGGAAAACTGTCCCAGACGCCGCCGTATTCAATGAATACATTATCAAGCAGGAACAAAGAGAGGAAAGAAGAGACCAACGCAGTATTGAGATGTGGAGTGGTGTAAAGGAAGTAGCAGAGAAATTCCTTGGGGCAGCTGTTAGCATGATGAATACCTGGCAGCAGCAACAACATTCTTACCATGGTCCTCCTCCTCCCCCCCATCATTACCACTCCTACGGTCCTCCTTCAGTTGCATCTTCAGTTGCATCAACTGCGGCAGCATCGGCTGCTGCTTCATCGTCCAACAAACGCAAACGCACAGGAGAGGAATCCCATGGTGAAAAGAAGCACCATGGTTCTGGC